GCTTCTCCCTCTCCCCCTGCTTGTGTTCCCTCTCTCACTGTCTCTCTGTCAAATAAATAAATAAAATCTTTTTAAAAATTTATTCCTATGTATTTTATTCCTTTTGGTGCAATCATAAGTGGGGTTTTCTTAATTTCTCTTTCTGCTGCTTTGATATCAGTGTATAGAAACACAACACATTTCCGTATATTAACTTGGTATCCTATGCTTTTACTGACTTCATTTATTAGTTGTCATAGATTCTTGGTGGAGTCTTCAGGGTTTTCTACTTATAGTATCATGCCATCTGCAAATAGTGACAGTTTTACCTCTTCCTTACCAATCTAGATGCCTTTTATCTATTTCTCTTGTCTGGTTGCCAGGGCTAGGTCTTCCAGTACCACGGTGAACAAAAGTGGCACCAGTGGGCGTCTTGTCTTGTCCCTGATCTTAGAGGAAAAGCTCTCAGTTTTTCACCATTGACTTTGATGGGCGCTCGGGGTTTGCTGCGTAAGGCCTTTATCATTTGAGGTATGTTTCTTCCAATGCCAATTTGTTGAGAGTTTTATCATGAACAGATATTGTCAAACGTGTTTTCTGCATCTCTTGAGATGAACACATGTTTTTTATCCTTCATTTTGTTAATGTGATGTGTCCCCATGATTCCAGCATTGAACCATCCTTTCAACTATGGAATGAATCCCACTTCACTCTGGTGAATAATCCTTCTAATGTATTGTTGAACTTGGTTTGCAAATAGTTTGTTGAGGGGTATTTTTGCATCTATGTTCATCAGGGATACTGGCCTGTAGTTCTCCCTTTTTTGTGGTGTCTTTGCCTGGTTTTGGTGAAAAGGTAATGCTGGCCTTGTAGAATGAATCTGAAAGTTTTCCTTCTTTTTCTGCTTTTGAATTGGTTTGAGAAGAATAGTTCTTAACTCTTCTTTCAAGGTTTGGTAAAACTCACCTGTAAAACCATCTGGTCCTGGACTTCGTTTGTTGGGAGTTTTTTGTGGCTTTTTTTTTTTTTTTCAATTTTGTTACTAGTAATTCTTCCTGATTCAGTTTTGGAAGATTGGGTGTTTGTAGGAATTTATCCATTTCTTCTGGGTTGTCCAATTTGTCAGTGTATAATTTTTCATAGTAGTCTCCTCCTCTGTATTTGTGCTGTCCATTGTTGTTTCTCTCTCATTTCTAATTTTACGTATTTGAGTCTGCTTTTTTCATAATGAGTCTAGCTAAATGTTTATCAATTTTGTTCCTTTTCAAAGAAACATCTCTTCATTTTACTTATCTTTTCTGGCTTTTTAGTTTATTTCATTTCTTTCCACTCTGATCTTTAGGATTTCCTTCCTTCTGCCAACTTTGGGCCTTGTTTGTTCTTTTTCTAGTTTCCTGAGGTGTGAGGTTAGATTGAGATTTTTCTTGTTTCTAGACGGAAGCCGGTATCACTATAAACTTCCCTCTTAGAACTTTTGCTGCTTCCCAAAGATTTTGCACTGTTATTTGCATTTTCATTAGTCTCCAGGTATTTAGGTTTATTCTTCAATGACACATTTGTTGGTTAGTAGCGTGTTGTTTAGCCTCCATGTGTTAGTGTTTTTTCCATCTTTTTTCTTGTCAGTGATTTCCAGTTTTGTGTGGTTAGAAAAGATGCTTGATGAGATTTCAGTCTTCAATTTGCTGGGACTTGGTCTGTGGCCCAACCTGTGATCAGCTCCAGAGAACGCTCCACGTGCACTTGAGATGAATGTGTATTCTGCCGTCTGGGACGGCTTGTTCTGTGTGTATCTGTTCTGTCCATCTGGACTCATGTGTTGTCAAGGCCAATGCTTCTGTCTTGATTTTCTGTCTGGATGATCTGTCCACAGAGGTAAGTGGGGGGTTACAGTCCTCTCCTGCTACCGTATCACCGTGGACATCTCCCTTTATGTCTGCTAATATCAGTGAGTAACTTGTGTACTTGGGTGTTTCTGTGCCAGGTGCACAGATAACTTAAAAACTGTCCTTTTCTCTTGTTAGATTGATCCCTTTATCACTAGGTAATGCATTTCTAGGTCTCTGGTTACAGTCTATTTTTTCTAATAGAAAGATTGCTACCCTCCCTGGATTTCTTTCTTTCTTTCTTTCTTTTTTTTTTACTTCTATTTTCTTCAATCTCTCTCTATCCCTTTACTTTCAGTCTGCGTGTGTCTATAGGTCTGAAGTGAGTCTCTTGTAAACAGCACACGATGGGTCTTGTATTTTTATCCATTCAGTCACCCTCTGTCTTTTGATTGGAGTGTTTAGGCCGTTTGCATGTAAGGTAATTATTGATATGTATGTGCTTGTTGCCATTTGGTTAAATTTCCTCTGGTTTGCTTTGTGGTTCTTCCCTTTTCCTTTCTTCTTCTTCTTGTCCTTTACAACTGATGACTTTCTTTAGTCTTATGCTTGGATCCTTTCTCTTGTTTTTTTTTGTGTATCAGTTACAGGTTTTTGGTTTGTGGCTACCATGAAGTTCATATATAACATCCTAACTATACAGCAGTCTATATCAAGCTGGTGGTCGCTTAAGTTCAAACACATTCTGAAAGCCCTACGTTTTTATTCCCCCTTTCAAGTTATATGTCTATGATGTCATATTTCACATCTTTGATTTTGTGAGTTCTTTATGATTGATTTTACTACTTTTATCTTTTAACCTTCATACTGGCTTTGTAAGTGATTGATTTACTACCTTTAGTGTATGTTTTCTTTTCCTGATAATTTTCCTTTCATAATTTCCTTCTAATTATAGCCTTTCCTTTGCTACTTCAGGAAGTCCTGTTAACATTTCTTGTAACCCTAGTTCAGTGGTGATGAACTCCTTCAGCTTTTGCTTGTCTGGGATATGCTTTCTCTTTTCTTCAGTTCTGACTGATATAGTATACTTGGTTATAGGTTTTTTCCTTCCGCACTTTGAATAGATCACCACTCACTCTTGCCTGCAAAGTTTCTGCTGAAAAACTGGCTGATCGCCTTTTGGGGTTTCCCTTGTGGGCAACTAGTTGCTTTTCTCCTGCTGCTCTTAAGATTGTCATTATCTTTAATCTTTGACATCTGGATTATTATGTCTTGGGTGGACTTCCTAGGGTTCATCATCTTTGGGGCTCTCTGTGCTTCTTGATCTTGGATCTCTATTTCCCCAGGTTAGGGAAGTTTTTGGCTATTATCTCTTCAAGTAACTTTTCTGCCCCTTTCTCTTCTTCTTCAGGGACCCTTACAATATGAATGTTGGTATATTTGATGTTGTCCCAGACCTTTCTTAACCTATCCTTTTATTTATGCACATCTTCCTTCCTTCCCTCTCTGCTGCTCAGAGTGAGTGCTTTCCATGACCCTGTCTTCCAGATTGTTGATCCGTCCTTCTGTATCCTCTAATCTGTTGATTCCCTCACATGTACTCTTCATTGCAGTTACTGTATTCAACTCTGATTCTTTCTTATATTTGCTCTCTCTCTCTGGAAGTTCTCACTGAGCTCATCTAGTTCTCTCAAGTCCAGTGAGCACCTTATGACCTCTACTTTGAAGTCTTTATCGGGTAGATTGCTTATCTGTTTCACATGGTTGTTTTTCTGAAGCTTTGTCTTGTTCTTTCATTGGGAGCATATTCCTGTTTCCTCATTTTGTTTCTGTTTCTGTAAAGTAGGTGGAACAGCTGTATCTCCTTATCTTGAAGGAATGGCCTTATATAGGAACATTCCCTGTGTGGACTGGATGTGCCTGGTGGCTTTGGCAGGCTAGCTGGCTGGGACTATGGTGGGTAGAGGCTGTGGGTCTCAGTGCACTCCAACCCAGGGCCACCCCGCTGGGACAGCTGGAGCTGAAGTGGGGTGGGCCCGGGGATCCCTGGGCGCTCTGTGCAGAGGGTGCTCTGCTGGAACAGGTAGAGGTAAGGTTGCTACAGCCCAGGAAGTCCCAGTACATTCAGTGCAGGGGGCACCCTAGCAGGACCCCTGGAGCTGAAGTAGCCATGGGCTGCACAGGGGCTTCATGATGGGATGGATGGCATGAGCCAAAGGGGGTGCAGACCCGGATGTCCTGGGGTACTCCACATAGGGGGTTTCCTGGAAAGTTGTGTGGAGCGGACACAGGTACAGGCAGCTCCCAGGGTGCTTTGTGCCTGTGTCTCCCTGGAGAGATGGCTGGAGCTGTATTGGGTACTGTCTGGGAGTGTCTGCTGTGTGCTGCACTGGGGTTGCCTTGGTGGGTTGGCTGGGGTCAGCTAGGGGCCCAGGGTTTGCTAAGGCAGCAGGCTGGCAAGGAAGCCCAGCCCCTCCCCCCATCTGCATTAGCAAGGTGAAGGGCGAATGGAAACCATGGTGGGGACCAGCACTTCTGACCCCAGAGAGCATTACAGCAGGTCCCCCACCATTGGGCAGGTGCTCTAGGATCATTCCCTTCTATTCTAGCTGCCCCTTTACACCGTGGCTTGTGTTCTGTGGCCCGGTCGGATGAATCTGCTCCCAGGCCCTCCACCCTATCTGTCCCCACTGATCCCCTGGTAAGGCCCTGGGACCCTGTAAACAGGCATCAGGCTGACATTCCCCAGGGGCTTTACTGGCTCCATAAAGTCCACCTCAGTTCTGAGTCGATGTAGATCATTCTAGTCAAAGTCTTGGTAACGTCGTCTGTGTTGCCCACTGTGTCCGTTAAAAGCAGAACCGATTCTCCGTGGACTTCTGCAAATCGTGGCCAAGAAGAATACTCAGGGAGAGCTGCTGACTCTGGAGGCATCAGGCAGGGGCACAAAATGGAAGGTTCCACTCTGTTGACGAAGGTGTAATTTCCGAACTGCCATCAGTCACAAAGAGGAAAGATGTTCTTACATGATGATGAACAAAGTCATAAAAGCTTATTCAGGCCCAGGTAAGGAATTGTGGTCGCTCTTGCTCTTTGTCATGGTTTCCTGAAGCCAGCGGGTTCTCCCTCAGAGTTCTGCGAATCTGCACGCAGGTCAAAGGTCTTCAATTATTGGAGATCCGTATCTTGGAGTCTGGGTCTGTCCTCACCTGAGTCCCCTTGAGGAGGGGGCACTTGTGCAAAAGCTTCAGAATAACACGATAACCACCTGTCACTGAGAAAAGGAGGCAGATGACATGAAAGGTAAAGTAAAATGTTTACAATTCCTTATAAAAAGCAGACCAGTAATCCTAGAAAAGGAGAAAAACCAAATTTTAATTTTGTGTGAGCTTGCTTTTGATATTAAAACTTGTTTTTAAATGTAAGCCAGTTTGACCACACATTTTTAGATTTTTTATTCATTTATTTGACAGAAAGAGCACAAGCAGGGGGAGTGGCAGGCAGAAGGAGAGGCAGGCTCCCCGCTGAGCAAGGAGCCTGATGGGGCACTCCATCCCACGGTCCTGGGATCAAGCCTCCCAATCAGATTTTGTCCTAAGTTTTTCCCCCTAAAACAACCAGTCTTACATTAGGACAAAAGTACTTTTCCTCAACACAAAAAATACATTTTTTTGCCAAAAGCACATATCCTACTTTTCTTGCAAACAGAGACGCTTCCCTTAATATTTTTAGTGTCTTTAACCACCTATATTAAGTAGAATGTTGAACCCTTACGACCTGAATGTCCAGTGGGCACTAAGTAGTGGGCTTGTGAACTGTTAGGCCAGCGTTCTTCCTGTTGGCAAAGTGATGACCACATTTCATAATTCCTACAAACCTGTGTTTCTTCAGATCACAGTCTTTCCATAGGGCCTGAGAAAGGTTTACTAACAGACCCAAATATATCTTTAGTTTTTCTGTACTAAGGAACCCCACAGTAGTCAACCTAAGAGACCAATACTTTGTGATTTTACCTTATTTGGAGTGACCTAGGTGCACAGCTAGGTCCTCGGGCTCTCCAAGCAGTAGACGCCCAGCAGGAATTCCAGACACGGCTTCTCTGGGGCTGACGCCCGAGCACCAGGGACCAGGGAGCCAGCACAGAGCGCCAGCGTCCTAGGCCAGGGAAAGGGTGACGCCTGAGCACGTGGGGGCAGGGAGAGGCTGGGGGCACAGTGCCCAGAACGTGCTTCTGCATACATCACGTGTCTCGTTGGCATGTTCGACCCCTGGGCGCGATTTACTAGGAGAACCGGGGGGAGGGAGGTAGAGTGGGGCACCGGGCTCCATCTTGGCACAGGCTGGTTTGGTCCCGTCTTCACCAGCCTTCAGAGTCCCTCCATCGCCTGCAGGATGTGCCGTCCAAGGGCACAGCGTTCTGGCTTTCCTGGGAGCCCCACCACTCGGGGGCGCTGCCGATCCGGGATGCTGGAGTTGGGGGTTGGAGCTGGGGGCCCGAGTCTAGTCCCTGCTCTGTCTCCTAGGCTTTCGACAGATTTAACTCATCACTTAGCAAAATGTCAATGTTTCAGGTTACCAAAAAGATGGAGGGGAATTATTTCTACCTACCTATTCAGGTAACGCGCTCTCAACAGCCACGTGTCCATCAGCCACGAAAACTGCACGAGCTGTCTGTCCAGCAAAGTCCACCATTCTCTCCAGCTGTGGTGGTGGTGGTGAGAAATTCTGGAACCTAGATAACATAAAACTTTTATTTTTCCTGGGTTTACTGAAAGTCCAATGAGTTTAATTCTAAGGCTCATAACTCTTAAGACGGAAAACTTTTAATTAAACCCACAACCTTAAATTTGTCTTACTATCAAATATTTTCCCAGATCATGTGAACTGGAAATTCATTTGGATTTAGTTTCTATTTTATTTTTGAGAATTTTTATGAATACTAAGTGTATGTAAATGCTCAATTTTCTTTAAGCCCATTAAACGGAGCCCCTTTACAAATTAATTTTGGCAATAATACCTTATCTGTCACATACCTCCACATCCACATAGACGAACACGGAGCTCTTGCAGCTTCTGTTTAAAAATAACCGTTGGAATAAATTGAATTAAAAATAACCGTTGGAATAAATGGAAATTACTGGCTCCATGGCTTAAAGCCTTTCAGGGCTTGTGGACGAGATTGTAAGGTTTGTCCCTGGACACAATCCTAGGAAGGCTGGGGTCTGGAGGGGGGGCAGAGCCCTTCTGCAGGTTTCGATGTTTAAAAAGGTCTCTTTCCCTCCTTTGGTTCTCACTCAGGCAGGTGTGGGCTGTGTTCACACTTCAGAGACATGGTAAGATTTATAACTCTAAGGGACAGAGAATGAATGTGAGTCTTACGGTTCTAAGCGTTTGGTGTAATTGCCTTTCAGATTTTCCTTCCTTCCCGACACGTGATTTTGTTCCAGTGCCCTCCCATTTCCTCCAATCTGCAGACCTCTGAGAGGAACAGCTGAGGTGTCAGGATTGGCAAAGGCAGGTGGGCTTTGACTTGCTTCTCGATTCGCATTTCTGGTTTTGTAGGGGTTTGGGAGACGGTGGTGTCTGCACCCCCGGGGAGCTGGGTGACAGCCTGGGTGTCTCGGGCCCGGCCGCCTTCGGGACCTCGCTTGGCTTCTGCACATCAGGACGAACGCCAGCCAAGCCGGAATCAAAACCTTGATACCTTGGTGACGTCTGTATAAAGTGTAACAAAGTCTTCTGAGTGCACATTCGACCTTGGCTCCGATCAGCCCTGGGATGCGGCCTTTAGCCGGTCATTCGTAGGAAGGCCTCGGGGCGACACTGGCCCTCTGCTTCCTCTGTGGGGGACAGTGGGTGTCGACAGGCACACTCCTCTTTCTCATCCCTTCCCCACAGTTGGGAGATCGGGGAGCGGAGGTAGGCGGGCTTTATAAAGGGTCTGCTGCTGCGCTGGGGACCGGACTTTGGCGTGGTGGGGCGGGGTGGGCTAGGGTCCATCTGCGGAGGACACTGCCCGGGTCTGCCTGAGGCCGGCAGAGCCTGAGGACAGAGCCTGCACCGAGCCAGGAATTGCAAACCTCACTGCCAGCTCCGAGCATATGGACACGGCTGCCCTGTCGGCCGGGGGCCCAGAGATTGGGCCCGAGGGCCCTCTGCAAACCGTGTCAGGGACGGCACATCCCAAGAGGCAGACGGGGGCCGGATGCTGAGCGCGGGAGCTGAGCTCGGAGGACATCCACTTCTGTCCTAATTCTAATGTCTGTTATGTTGTCCAGGGAGTCCCTGAGGCTAACCCTTGCACTCCTCAGAAAACGGGGAACTCGCTACAGAGAAGTCGATCTCTCTCAAACAGAGCCGATTGAAAGAGTCCATCATGGGGCCAGTGACCAGTAGGAGCTTATTAATCTGAACAGGGACTCAAAGCAATAAGATTCTTTAGGGAAAGACGCGGAGGCAGTGTTCCAGGCTCACCATGGACACGGGTGTTGCAGCCCCCACGACCCGAAAGTTTACTCCCCGAAACAGTCTACGAAAGGGCCTTTGTACGCAGGGAGTGAGGACAGGTGCCGAGTGTGGGGTCTCCCACAAATGTGAGCGGCCTCCAGCCCGAGTCCTGCTCACCCGTGACAGTGGGCAGGTGTCCTGGAAGGGATTCTTCCGGCGCTAACACACGGCAAGGGCTGAGAGGACGGAGCTCCCTCGCGTGCCGGCGCCTCTCGTGCCAGACCCCGCGGGGAGCTGGAGGGTTCCGTGTCGCCGGACGCTGGTCCGCGGGTTCTGTGACGGGCCACCGAGGGTCACCCCGGAAGCGCCCCCTCCCACAGCGGAGGCAGTGAAGATCCTCGCCACTCGCGAAGCCAGGCGCTCAGGACCCAAGAACATGAAAGCACACGCCTCGCCCGGTTTCCACGCGGGGCACCCAGAGCACGGTGTGAACGCGCCCGTCGAGGCCGGCTTGAACCGCAGGCTTGCAGGCCCAAGGGCTGTGTTCTCCCTGCGGTGAGTCCTCTTCGTGACAAAGACAAACGGCCACCATCTCTGGGAGGACGTGGGTGAATCAGCCAAGAGAAGCTACCAAATTCACCAGAGTCGCTAAGCGCAAGGAACTGGTTCTGCAAGTATTTCCTCCCGCTGCTCTGAGCTTAGAAAGTGAGGAAAGGGACCCACGCTCTTGCTCCCAAGCGGCCCCGAGGCTGACTCGGGAGGGATTCTCGCACTGGCTGCGTCGGGAGTCAGGTTAATCGAAAGTGATCAACATCCCAATGTGGCACATTTAGGGGGCCCTGCCCCCCAATAGGCATTGATGCCGGTGAGAGTCTGGAATTATCTGAATTCCTTGGACCCATGATGGCCCCTTCTGGGTCCCAGCCTCTCGGGACACTGGCCCCATCGCGGGTCGCTGGCTACACAGATCGGCGAGGCCCTCCCTGGTGCCGCCACCCTTGGCAGCCAGGACACCCCAGCCTGCGGAGCTCATGCCAGTTCCCACCAACGGCACCACCTCCAAGGTGGGGGAGACACCCGGAAAAATCTGCCTGACACAGCAGCTTTAAATTGATGACCGTCATTCCCCATGTGGATGGACGTATTTTTGGAGGGTAGCCTCCAGGACCGTTTCCTCCAGCTCTGCCTGCACGGGGAATACGCACATTTGTGGGGTTCGGGCTTGAAATAGGCAGAGGCCTCGTGTGGCCAACAGCCGGTTCCCAGGACCAGGCTCCCACTGTAGCAGGTCCCTGGCCACCCCGAGTGTCCATGCAAGGGTTGGCCAACCACAGGCAACTGGGACATGCATGGCCCCAGGGTGGAGGGAGCACAGCCCCCCAAACCTTTCCGAGGCATTAGCTTTAAACTGGGAAAAGTCAGCCACTCTTTCAAGTGGCTGTTTGATGGGGTCCTGGGCTTAGCGCTCATCAGGCCTCCGGGGGTCTCTTTGTGAAGGGAACCCCAGCAGCCAGACAGGCCCCTTCCTGGCCCCCACAGCCCAGGCTCCTCCCCTTTACCCTCAGCGGGAGACGGGCGCCTGTGGAGAGTAAGGCCTGGGAGACGCAGATGTCTCTTACCCCAAACGCCAGGACCCAAGACCCAGCTTCTCCCGGCACTTGCCCCGTTCCAGGGCAGGAGGTACAGATAAAACATGAGACAAAATTCAACACCAATTCATGATAAAAACCCAGCAATCTGGGAATAAGGGGAAACTCCCTCAACTTAATAAACAGCAGTTAACATTATACTTAATGGTGAGAAACTCAACATTTTCTCACTAGGATCAGGAACAAGGCAAAGATGTCCCCTCTTGCCATTGCTCTTCAGCAAAATGAGAGAGGACATTTTGGAAGAGGGAAAGTGGGCAGGTGATAACTGACTCCGTGGAGAGAAAGCCCCAGCTACTACACCTAGACAAGAAAATCCCAAATTCTCAGCAGGTTAATTGGTGGATATCAACAAATGGATTCTAAAGTTTATATGGAGAGCCGGAGATCCAGAATAGCCAGCTAAATTTTTTTAAAGATTTTATTCATTTATTTGAGAGCGAGCATATGCCAATGAGTGGGGGGACAGGGAGAGAGAATCTGAAGCAGACTCCACGCTGAGCACAGAGCCCCATGTGGGGCTCGGTCCAACAACCACAAGATCACGATCTGAGCCGAAACCAAGAATTGGACCCTTAAGCAACTGAGCCACCCAGGTGCCCCTCGCCAGCTCAGCTCTGAAGGACAAAAACAAAGCAAGACGACTGGCCCTGTGACCCCACCCAATGTCCAGACCCACTGGGAAGCCACAGGGATGGAGACAGGGAGGTCCTGCTGAAAGAACTGGTCAATGGGACAGAAAATGACCCACATCAACACAGTCCATTGATCACCACCAAAGGAGTAAAGACCCTACAACAAAGATAGGCTCTTCCATCAACGGTGGGACAACAGGGCATCCATGGGCAAAAAAATTAAAAACCACCAAGACAGAGACCTTACTCCCTTTACAAAATTAACTCTAACTGGAACACAGACCTAAATGTAAAACACAGAACAACAGGCATAGTGCATGTTGTTCTGCTTTGTAGATATTGCGTTTTCTACACATTGAAGGTGTGGGGCGACCCTATGGCACCAAGGCCATCGGGGACATTATTTCTACAGCATTTATTCACTTCTTGTCTCTGGTCCCATTTCAGTAATGCTCAGCTTATGCCAGATGTTTCCGCTGTGGCTGTTAGATCTTCGATGTTACCAGTATAATTGGGGCACCGGGACCGACGCTGGTGAGCTTCTCAGTACATGTTGCGTGTGTTGTGACTGATCCATCGACCGGCGCTCCCGTCTCCCTCCCTCTCCTCGGGCCTCCCTCGTCCCTGAGACACAACAATGCTGAAGCCAGCACAGCTCCTAACGCTACAGTGGCCTCTAGGTGTGCAAGTGTAAGAGTCACACACCTGCTGATGTAAATCAGAAGCTGGAAATAATGAAGCTCAGCAAGGAAAGCGTGTTGAAAGTGAGACGGGCCCAAAGCTACATCTCTTGTGCCAAACAGACCAGTGGTGAATGCAGAGGAACGTTCCGGAAGGAACTGAAAAGAGCTCTCCAGTGAGCACACGAAGGAGAAACGAAACAGCCTTACTACTGATACGGACAAAGTCTGAGTGGTCTGGATGGAAGCTCAAACCAGCCACAAACGTTCTCTTCAGCCAAAGCCTCACCCAGAGCAAGGCCCTGACTCTGTTCAACTCTGAGGTTGAGGGAGGGGAGGAAGCTGCAGAAGGTAAGTCTGAGGCCAGCAGAGGCTGGTCATGAGGTTTAAGGAAGGACACCATCCCCATAACATCAAGGCACAAGGTGAAGCAGCCCGTGATCCAGGAGACATAGCTGAGCTCACTGGAGGTGGTTCCACTAAACAGCAGGTTTTCAGTGTAGACGCAACAGCCCTCTGTTGGAAGATGCCGTCTAGGACCCTCACAGGCAGAGAGGAGAAGTCAGTGCCTGGCTTCAGAGCTTCAAGGAACAGGCGGACTCTCTCACGGGCTAATGCAGCTGGTGATTCCAAGTTGAAGCCAAGGCTCACTGACCATCCTGAAAATCCCAGGGCCCTTGAGAATCGTGCTCCATCTACTCTGCGCTCTGGCAGCGGAACAACGGAGCCTGGATGACAGCCCATCTCCTTACAACATGGTCGGCTGAGTAATTTAAGCCCACTCATGAACCTACTGCTAGAAAAAAAAGATTCCTTTCAAAATGTTATTTCTCACTGACAACACACCTGGTCACCCAGGAGCTCTGATGGGGATGAATAACGAGACCCGTGTTCTCGCTGCAGCTAACACAACATCCATTCTGCCGCCCATGGAGCAAGGAGTCCTTTCGACTTCCACGTCGTCTTTTTAAAGAAATACGTTTTGTGAGGCTGCAGCTGCCGTGGTGATTCCTCTGAGGGACCTGGACAAAGTCAACGGGAAGGGACTCACCATCCCAGATGCCATAGGAACATTCCCGATTCACGGGGAGAGGTCAGACTATCAACGTGAACAGGAATCGGAGGAGGTTGATTCCAGCCCTCATGCACGACGGTGAGGAGGTGGAGACCAGTGGAAGAAGCCTCCGCAGATGGGGTGGGAACAGCAAGAGAACCAGAATGAGAGGTGGAGCCTGAAGATGGGGCCGACTCCCTGCATCTCTGGATAAAACTCGGAGGGACGAGGAGGTGCTTCTTGGGGAGGGGCAAAGAGTGTGGGTTCTTGAGATGGAACCTACTCCTGGTGAAGGTGCGGTGCAGGCTCGTGGAGCGACACGGGGGAGGGGACTTAGAACATCACAGAGTCGGAGCAGCAGGTCTGAGAGGACGGACTCCGATATGGAAAGACAGCCTGCTGTGGGTAAAATGCCATCAAACAGCACCACCTGCTG